ATGTCCGCTGGCTTTGAGGGTAGACTATCACTGGAACAGCGATTCTGGGGACTTCAAGTCCACTCCATTCTGTCCAAACAACTGGTCTGGCAAAGCTAGCATCAAGAGATTAAGAGAAAAAAAAAGAGGATACGCATTAACTTTATAAAGTTTTAGTTTCTTCTTCACGAGGAGAATACTTATATTTATGTTAGAGAGCTCATTTGTTCATTGCAGCTCTTTGAGGTAGTGAATAGGTGATGTTATCTCCATTTGGGGATGAATAATTTGGAGTACAATGCGGAAAAAACAGGCTTTGGAGTTAGCCGAATCAGGTTAAAATACTCGCTCCCCAGGATATACTTCCAGTTGTACGAGTATATCTTGAGAGGAGTCCTGGCGGAGTAGTGGTTATGCATTGGGCTGATAACCGCAAGGTCAGGAGTTTGAAACCACAAAGCCACTTGGGAGAAAGCAGAGACTTTCAACAATTTAGTCTTGGATACCCACAGGGGCAGTTCTACCCTCCGCTCTGGGATTGCTGTGACCAGAAATTGACTAGATGGCAGTGAGTTTGAATTTGCTATTATCGTCAAGCCCCATCTTTCTCATCTCTAAATTAGGATAACGAAAGATGAACTAGAAAGCTGAAAAGCGATAATGCTTATGGACAACATATCAGATACTTGGCCTGGTGGTTGCTGCTTTTGTTGGGGTTGAGCTACGCATTGCACATAATAGACACACCTGCTGCTTTCACTTTCTGAGCATAGATGACCCAATACTACCTGAAATATCCTGTAATGTTCATGCTTTTCTGGTCATACAGTTTCACTCACACTAACTAAACCTTGATATATATAGTAAACTTGGGATTTTTTTCCTCTCATAATGGCATTGTGCGTAGCCTGCTGAATACACAGTGCCAATGACCTATTCATAATAGGTGTGTTAAAAATAAATTATGAACCAAAGGTCAAAATATTTGGATTAATATCAAACAATATCCCCATGTGATACAGTACATGCAGCATCCGGTGAGGAATGATGCCGCTTGGGTTCCCACCTAATAGCCATCCAGGGCCAGTGTGAAAATCCTCAACCCCGACAACAGCAGAACTGACAATTTTCTGGGTCATGCAGATGTGATTGAAACATGACATAATTAAAGATACTACAGGGCATTCATTAAATGATTCAGGTAACTCAGAGAGATGATGCCTGGGCTCTAACGGACTGATGAGTAGAGTGATGAGCAAACACACACTTAAAAGTGCAGTATGGTAATCGAGAATCCAGTTTTCTAAAAATGCAGAGGACAGGGTGTGCATGCATGTAGGTAAGCTCCAGAGGGAAGCAATGCCTGCTTGAGTTGATCTTGGCAATTCGTGGTGGACGAGGAAGATCGTGGGAGATCCTGAGGAGAGTGGCGTTGAAAGGGAAAAGGGAGAAGTGGCACTTGGGCACTGAGTTGCGTGAGAGCTTGGTGGGTAGTGAAGTGTATTTGAGGAAGAGTCGATGAAGGAAGAAGATTTCGCTTGGCCATCTCAGTGACTTGCCTACAGTTAGTAGCCCATGAGTTGGTATTGGATATAAGTGGGATTGAAACAGAAGAAGGGACAGGAAATGATTTCAGTTGCATAAACATGTATGACAGGGCAGACAAGTGTGACTAGAATAGAGTGGTAGATAAGATGTCCTATGTGAATTGACCCCAGATTTCAGAAGGATTTCAAATGTCAAACTTGAGAAGTTTAAACATAAATCATTAATCAGTAGGGAGACTACTCTTAAATACTGAGGACTACGCTTAAACACATAAAAATGATATTAGAAATAATTGGGAGAAATGAAGGAATTAAACTAAAATTAAAATATGGTCTTACTTTTTTAATCTTTTTAATTTTCCCCCCAATTTGGATTAAAATTATGGTCGTCAGCTGGGCATCTACATCTTAGATGACAGAAGGTGTGTCTGATGTTCTGATTCTTCCCTTTCATGAAAATGCCAGAGAGCCTAACCTACAAAATAAAATTGATGACTCCCGCTTTCACTGTAGGGAGAAAAAGGTAGTTGAATGTATGTTCTATAATTTATCTCTGGGTTCTAATATCCATTTCAATGGCTACATAAAAACTCACAGACAAATTCATAATGAAAGGGTTTTTAAAGAAAGTTAAGATGTCATGCCAGTGAGAAATGCTCAGGATAGTTGTTTATCAGAACAGGTTACAAAGTTTCAGTTCTACTAATAAATGCCTGTGGTAATTACATAATCTGGGGTCAATTTGAGAGGATTTAGAGTGAAGGGATGGGGTCTAGTCTGTCAATCCGGTCATAGCCAATGAGGCATCTATGTGGGCATGGCCTTCTCCTGAGAATTCTGGGACATGTGGCATTTCCTCCTTGGAGGCAGGACACAAGTCTCTCTCTGCTCACTCCCTGGGAGACATAGCAGCTGACAAGACACATGGAACTACACTGGTGCCCTAAGCTGGAGAAGCCAAATGACCCACCCTGGTACAATCAGACTTCTGAAGCCATGTAGAGACCCCTGCTAGTGCTGAGATACTTACAGTGCCACTGGATCTAAAGATTTTCTACCCACTGACCTGTCATCGTCCTGTATTTGGCGTCATTGCATGTGTCGTGAGTTGAAGAGGATTTTATAGATTGGTATCAGACCTATGGGCTAATATTGGATTTATGGGCTTGGACTAGAGTGGATTGGGGCGCTTTCTTAATGTACAATTACCCTTTGTATAAAACTCTCTCTTTCCAAGGATATTTTCTCTAGTCCACCCAGACTAACACAATGCCCAAAGGGGCATTCCACTCCTTTGTAAGCCTCAACCTGCAGGCCTTCAGCTCAAGTTCCTTGAGTTAGCAAACCGAGTTTCCTGAATTGCATGTCTCTAGGTACCCCCTCAAGTAATCCTCAGCCCAGAGGCACTCAGCTCCACTTCTGTGGGTCAGCAAGTCCATCTTCCTCAATTAAATGCCCAGAGGCACTCTACTCTACAAGCCAGCCTCCTGCACAAAAGCACTCATCTTTACTTGATCCGCGGGTTGGGAAGTCCATCACTCTGTTCCATCCTCTGGTTCCTGGTTCTGCTGCTGCTCCTCTGATGGTCTAGCTGGAGCCAGGTTACTGTGCAGGGATCTCAGGTCCAGAGGACACGCTTCACTCCTGGCTCTTGTTGCTCATGAGATCCTGTATCCTGCTTCACAGAAGGCTCATTTTATACACAGCAGGAGGGAACACCAGGGAAACCTATTTACAATTACTCACAGATGAATCCTAACAGTATCTTCCCTAACCTTCTTACCACACCCATGCAGGGAAGGGTAATTTGGTGGGAATTAGAGACTTTGGCCAGAAGAGTCACGTTAAATAATTCACTGTCCCTGAACTGAGGCAGAAATGAATAATTGCCCAATTATATTAGAATTTCACAGTGGTACAGATGGGAATTGGAAACGCAGGGAATCTAGGACAGATGAATCCCTCAGGACCAGGGGTGACAGTGGGGATACCAGGAGGGAAGGGGGGTGTAGAAAGTGGGGATTGATCACAGGGAGCTACATATAACCTCCTCTCTGGGGGATGGGCAACAGAGGGGTAGGTGAAGGGAGACGCCGGGCAGTGTAATATAATAATTTATAAATTATCAAGGGTGCATGGGGGAGGGGAGGCAGAGGAAGAGAGGGGGAGGGAGGAAAAAAGGAAAATGAGCTGATTCCGGGAACCCAAGAGGCAAGCGAATTTTGGGAATGATAAGGGCAACAAATGTATACATGTGCTTTACACAATTGATCTATGTGTCGTGATGAATTTTATGAGCCCCAATAAATTGATTAAAAAAAGATAATAGAAACTACTTGTACTACACAGTCTTTTAGAGAAAACAAATATATGACAAACATTACCACCATCTAATTCCATACCTATGATAGACATTGCAACTCAGCACTGGTATGTTTTCCTTTTAGGCTCACCTGTAGTCATGGAATCCTTGTGCCTGGGGTAATCAATGGACAAAAATCTATTATGATTATATTAACAGCACAAATTGATTTTACTTTTCCAGGTGGAGCTTGCTAAAATCTGTGCCAAGAGTGAGCGTTATATTGGCACTCAAGGAGGAGGCATGGACCAATCCATATCATTTCTTGCAGAAGAAGGAACTGTGAGTGACATTGTGTTATTTGGAAATACCAACTAGGGCAATCCACATGCAGAGTTACATAGCATGCTTGGTGATAGAGAGCCTATTCTCCGAGGGTATAGGTATTTTGGGCTAGGGGTGTGGTCATTCAAGTCGGCTCCCTTGTCAGGTATGTTCCAGTTGCTGGTAACTCAAGGGGACCACCAGTTCACCCAGTCTGTTTCTTGTCTCTGCCCTTAGGCTTCCAGACTTGCACTTCAGTCCAATTGTCTCATGTCTTCTCCTTTTTCAATTCTCTTTTCTTCTTTGTTAGGATGAGATTTCATGATTCTTCTCTCTCGGGCCCTCCTTTCACACCCTGATCCCAAATCATTTTATCTCATGACATTTTCATAATCTCTTGTTGGTTTCAAACCCAAATGTTAGTTTTCTGACCACATGTGTTCACAACTACTCTTTATAATTTACACTTTGGTATCATTTTTCTCTGTAAACATTTCTGGGGCTTCAGCGGTGGGAGAAAGAATGTTGACAGTCAGCCAGGAATAAATTCCTGAGCTGGGTACCACTTCCCCTTGGCTATCAACTCCCTTAGGGAAAACAGAAGTTTTGGTTTTTGCCCCTGAACTGCCCTTTTCCAAAATAGAACCAGACATTAAAAAAAAATATTTTCAGTTTTTAAAATCAGATTCTGACAGACTTGGCTGTTAGACAAGAACACCTGGGTTCTTTCTTACTAAGAATATTTGTTGTTGATTCCCTAAACATGGGGCATGGGGAAATTTTGATTGCATACAAAGATAAAACTGCGGGTGTTTTGGATGAGAATCGACAAGCGGACATGATGTCAAGAGTCCTTACACTAAGGTGTTAGTTTTACTGTCTGAGAAAACCCCAGATTATTGATTTGAGCCCACTTTATCCCTTTAATCTCTTGTTATTTCTTAACCCCTGAAATCAAATTCTAATCCCCAAAGCTCCATAAACACCCTTGAAGTGTCAAACTGGCTAGGGTGTGGTATCTAATCATTTGAGCAAACACTAATTGGAAGGTTGTTGTGAATGTAAATATGATTTAACGTTTAAAATTGGTAGGCTTTAAAGGAGATTAGCTTTGGGGTGGGCCTTATCCGATCTGTTGAAGGCAGTACGAGCAACACCAACGCTTCCTGGAGAAGAAGGGATCCCCCTTACGGTTGTAACATAGAAATCCCACCCCATCATCCAGCCTGCTGGTCAGTTGTGCTGATTTTGGACTCAAGGCTGTCATACCATTTTTTGTCTGAATTTCTTGCCTGCTGCTCTGCTCTCCCTCTCTCTCCTCATGTAAGCATCTCCTGCTTTTTGCAATTTCACTATCACTTTGCGTTTTATCAGAAACCTACATTAGTGCCTGTTTCTGCTAACTGGAATACAAAGGGGATTTTTGTTTTTTACAATACCAAACCCAAACAAAGAAACAAAAAGCAAAACTCACGTTTGCACAGAGCCACTTAAAGGGGTCGTGTGCCCTCCATGCAGGGAGAGTGGGCTGCCTAAGGAGCTGCTTTCAGCATCCAACTGCCATAGCTTTGAGCTAATTTTGTGAACATCGTGTGAGTGTTACTTTAGATTCCATGTATGATTTTTGTATGTCTTGGTCATTATTTTGTTGTTTTTGTGCGTGTGTGTGAGGGGGATCTGGGAATGCTCATATAAATGAATGATAATTATATCTTTGCTTTTTCCATTTTAACATTGAAAAGTTTTCATGGAAAAACCCTACTTTTGGATGACTGCGGAAAACTGTATATGCATATTATATAAGGAGGCTCAAAAAGTTTATGGAAAAATGGAATGAAATGATCGTGGGATTTTTCCCCACAAATGTTTTGAAACCCCTTTGTGTGTGTGTGTGTGTGTGTGTGTGTGTGTGTACACAGTCAAGGTTCTCCAGAGAAATAGAACCAAGAAGAGATACTAGTCCATAAGCCAGTAACATTGACATTTATTATGACTATTAAGACATACATATCATAGGTGATCCTAGGGCCGAGGTCGGCACACTGCAATTCAAGAGCCCTATGCTGCTCTTCCTGTGCACACATGTGGCTCTAAAGTAAATCGAAAACAAAATAAAGGATATTATTCAGATAATGGTGAATTTGTTTGCTTGTAAACATATAATTATGGCTTTTGAATACTTTTTGAATTGTTGGGAGGGCCAGGATTGGCTCTTCCATCTCAAAAGTGTGCAGGCCCATGTGTTAGGGTATTAGGTAAAGCATGTGCAGGCCCATGTGTTAGGCCTGTGTGTTAGGTAAAGCAGGCCCATGTGTTAGGCCCGTGTGTTAGGGTATTAGGTAAAGCGTGTGCAGGCCCGTGTGTTAGGCCTGTGTGTTAGGTAACGCGCATTGCTACTGAGGTTTCAGTTCATACACCCCCAGGCTTCTTCTAAACAGAAGGTGTGAATACTTGTGCCTGCAGTGAGCAGAGGGCTCCAAACCATTTCTCTCAGTAATACACTTGTCTGAGTCTTATTTGGGAACCTTCTTTCAAAAAGGTTCTCTTCAGAGGACCTTCCTCAAGGGTTCTACTGGCCAGTTCACCCCTCAAAATTCAAAGCAGAGAGGTTCACTCAGAAGGATATGGTGACAGTTTTTTCTTTTAGATTCCAAGGGATAATCTTGATAGATTTTCTTAAAGTATCCAGAATGGTCAAGGGAACTCTTGAAAAACTTTCAAGAAAATTGAAAACTGCATCGGTGAGAAAAAAGCCAAGAAATTTGCATTGAAGATTTTTTTTTAAATCACAACAATGCACCTGCTTATTCTTCAAGGGCAGGAAGGGCTGTCCTAGGAGAATTTCATTGGAAACTTTATGCTATCCACCCTACAACCTTGATCTTGCCCTTTCAGACTTTTTTTGGTTTCCCCAAACTCAAGGAATATTGAAAAGGAGCATAATTTGAGTACCTCAAGGATGCCAGAGTTGCTGCTTTGAGGTACTGTAAATCGAAGCGTGCAGAATTCTTCAGGGGAGGGGTAGAGAGATGGAAATACCACCTTCAGAAGTGGATAGACCTAGATCAACAATATGTTGAGAAACAATAACTTCACATTTTGATATATTTTGTCCAATGAAAGTTTTAAAGATTTTGTAGCAATGACTTTTTCTTGTGTGTATTGGTGTATGTGTGTGCGCAGATGCATACAGATCATATAAGAATGCTTCAAAGAGCCGATGGACAAATCCCATTGTCTTTTGGTTCCATTTTTCCATGAACTTTTTGAAGACCCCTTGTATGTCTCCTATAGTTTTATTTCCTTGGAGAACCTTGACCAATATAATCCCCCATATTATTTTCACCTCTGGACTTGTCTGTGCTCTTCCTGACAGCCCCCC